ATCTGATTTGGGAATTTAGGGCTTAAGAGAATTTAGATTATAAACCGGTCCAATTCGCTTGGTTCGGTTTGTCCTTATGAGAATCAATTTTGTTCCGGTTAAGAAGATAGATACGAGGGATATGCCACTTTGTCAACACAAGTTGCTACTGCTACGCACGTGTTGGTAAAACGGTGAGGATACTTTCGTAATTTCGTCTTATTCAAAGATTTTTAATAAAAGTACAGCTCATTCGATGTTGTCTCGGTATCCGAATTTAATCCGGGTTTCAAAATCGGGTCCTTTCCCCTAATCGAAAAGCACGAGTTTTCAACCCTAGCCGCTTTCGAAATACCCCCAATTATTATTATTTTTTTCCCCTTACAAAAATTTCTTCGATTTCGTGTTCAGATCTCTTCCTTCTCCGAGATCAATCTTCAAATCTATTGTAATTTTCTTATTCCTCTTGATTTCACCTTTCGATTGATACCTGTTTTGATACCAATTATTCGTTTTGGTCAAATCTAGGGTTTGAGTCATCGAATTCCTAGATCTAGATCTATGAACAACAGATCTGATCGATCTTTTTGTTTTGATGTTGATTTCCTTGAATATTCTTATCGGATCCGTTCTTAATTTCAAGTTTCCCTAAAAACAAAAAACAAAAAATTCCGATTTGAGATCTTGTAGTTTTCGATGTTCTAGGGTTTGTCAGATCTGTCAATTAATCGAGGGCTTCTCTTTGTTTTACGGATAATTAACCGATCCGTTGATTTTTGATGCCTGATTTGCTGATTGAAGCCGTGAATTGAAATCTAGGGTTAGGGTTTCATTCAAATTTGGGGATTTTTTTTTAATTTACTCAAATTAAATTGGGGGTAAAATATTTTTTCTTTATTCCCTAATTATATTCCCCTCAATAATTAATTTTTTTTTTGGTAAACCTCAATAATTAACTTAACTTAGGTAATTATATAGACTTTTAGATGTCACTTGTTAGTGTGGTAACCTTCACGCCAAGTAACTAAATACCTTTGGTTCTCATTTTTACAGGTTAAGAAAAATGGGTTTTAAGCGCACTTTTGATGCTGAGGACATGCAAGAGCTTAACTTTAAGCATGCAAGACAGATTAGTTATTGCAATAAGCTGGCTAAACTTGACGAAGGAGTTCCATATCATCGTGTTTCGTTCGAGAAGTCAGGTGTTATAGGTAATAATAATATGCATCTTGCAGAGTGGGGGGTTAACTTGATAAACTCAAGCATCTTGCTTAATTGTTGTTTATATTGCGTTTAGCAGGAGAGGGTCGTAGTGATCTCTATGGGTTTAAATGTGACGATAATGTTGAGAAGGTGTTTGAGAGTAATGCACCTTTCTCTTGGATCACAACTGGTTTTGAGGAGGAGGATGCTGAGTCTGGAGCGACGACTCTGTCTACCCTTTCTCATGAATCTCCTGAGTCGGATTTCCCCTGGAAACCAGTTTGCCCGGCAGATGATGTTTACTGGTGTCAGATGTCTCCTAGAAAACCAGTTCCAATCGGGTCGGATTACCAGGCTGATATTCCTGAATGTGTCAAGGAACAAGTCCGAGATGAGTCGGGTGATGCTAATGATCACAATGAAGCACAGGTGACGGGGAAGTGCGTAATTCCAATGCCTGATTTTGAAACCGAGGACTGCAAAACCGGTAAAGGAAGAAAGGAGTGCGTTTGCCTTGACAAAGGCTCCATCAGATGTGTTCAGCAGCATATTATGGAAAACAGAGAAGGCTTGTTTGATGCTATTGGATATGAAAGATGTATGAATATAGGTCTCTGTGAAATGGGGGAGGAACTTGCTGGTAAACTAACTGAAGACGAGGAAGATCTATTCCACGAGATTGTTTACTCCAACCCGGTTTCACTGGACCAGGATTTCTGGAAACACCTGAAATCTGCGTTTCCTTCACGAACCATGAAGGAATTAGTGAGCTATTATTTCAACGTCTTCATTTTGCGAAGAAGAGCTGTCCAGAATCGTTCTAAAAGCCTAGATGCGGATAGCGATGATGACGAGTGGCAAGTTGAGTATGACAACACCTGTTATGGTGCTGATACTCCAGATGAGAAAACTGGAAAAAGCCTCTCAAGGGACGAAGAAAAAGAAGAAGAGGCTAATGTTAAAGAAGATTCGTGCATGTCCTTTGAGTTCCAGTCCAATGTTATCTACTCTCGATGTCCAGTAAGAAACAGGGAAGAATCCAACATTGGGAATTACTGGCGCCACTGCAGTGATCTTGTGGATCATTCGTATTCATTCGATCCTTGTGATTCGATACTACCAGATGATCATTGTTGGAATAAGAACATTGATCTTCTTCCAACTTCAAACATCATCGACGAGATCTTTGGTCAAGACCCATGGGATGATTTCTCTAGGGGGAAGTAAATGAAGAATGGTCCTCCTCCAATCTCCATTGTTACTCACTGCTCTAGCTCTGAATCTTGTGTATGTAAATGCATTATTTAAGAAAAATTCCAAGTTGGAAGTTTTCAGGGAGTTCCTACTCTGTATAGTTTAAGCCCTGGAAGCTTTTGTGTTTTTTTGACACTTCAGGTTATTTATGACCTTTGTAAACTAGAATTAGATTTCTCTTGTAAAAGAAGAAGAAAAAATCTTCAACATTGTTTAATAAACTAACTCTTTTTCTTTTGTAATACAGATTTTCAGATCTCACTTCCTATACCTAAAACTTCAGTAATCAGTTTCTGCAAACAATCCCTAAGATCAGACAAACATGTTCTTTGTATAATGAGACATAAACATGTCTCTGTGTAACAGAGTGGTTTAGACCATATAGAACAGAGACTCTTAACGGTCTGAAAGTATGTAGAAACAGAGGACGTGTCTCTCTTCATCTCCAGATCCCTTCAATGGTGCACGAACAGAGAGAGAGAATCGAAAACGATGACCGTTCTTGAAATTTATATCTCTGTCACAAGATTCTATTTTTGGATAACCATTTGCCTTTTCCTTTCTCTGGATTTTTCTTAATTGGAA